ACAACTACGTTGTTAGCGATCGCACCATCGACCGTGCCAGTAGAACCAGCTACCAGAGAAGCTCAAGAGGATCTGGCAACAAGTGCGAAGACAATTACAACGAGCAAACAAAAAGGCGAAGGAGTAGCGCAGAAAAGGAAAAAATTGAAGGATGAAGAGGTATGACCTTAACAGTAAAATCATTACACTAGCATTTCTTGCTAATTCAAGATGGAATGGCTCACCTCAAAATCCTCACCTGTACTTCGTGCAGTTCAGCTGAACTCAACGGCTGCAGTTAAGCAGGAGCGACTGAATCCTGAAAATCCGGTGAGTAGTCTTACGAAGCTGTTTTGCTGTAGTCAGACGTGATCAGAGCAGAAATATCATAAAAACTGACAGAATCTATTTAATTGAAAAAACACTATAACTCTCCTAAAGGAAGCTAGCTAGTTTTCTTCGATAAGCCAACATAGTATACCTCAGGAGATCTCATTCGATAAAGTTATTTTCAGTTACTAGAGATATTAAAATAATTACCAAATCGAAACTATGAAGATGTAGAGTTAAATTTGTTTATGGAGACGAGAACTCCTTAGGATAAGTTCATAAAACAATAGCAAATCCTATCATGCACTCCTTTGTATTTTCCAGTGTTAGAAAAAAGGCATCTATCATTAAGATAAACAAACATTAAACAGTAAGAAGACCATTTATACCTATAAGCGCATCGACCAGTATGTGCACCTGAATTAAAGAGAGTTGGTAGTGATTTCCTATCCCCTACATCAAGCAGAAAGTCTATATGAATGTATGTATGTATTTATGTGTATGTAGTTGTGAATAGGAAATTTTCGTTTTCGAACCGAGGCCCAAACTCTGCACACATACATTTCGGCCACCGGCGTGTAACGTAGGCTATTTTATACAATAGGTAGTCGTCTGATAGCGTTGATTTGCGATTCTTTGGCCAAATTACGTCACATTTAAAAATGAAATGGTTTAGTCGTTATCAGACTACTTAAACAAGTTCGTGTAACGACATATAGTTTCATAATGGAGGTACGTTGAAATAGTAGGTGCTCATGTGTGTTAGCAGTAGGAGTCAGAGTACAACGATATTTGCTTTTTCGCATTAATTTCATAAATTTGAAGACACGGAGCAAAAAGATATCGTTTAGATGAAAATGTTATATCAGCAGGCATCTGAGCATCAGTTGCAGTAGTATTATAGAACAATTGTAGGCTTACGCTCTTGACACCTGAGGGGGAGCGGGGAAGGACCTCAAAATACGCTGGCGACTTTCTGCACTTTCACATTCTCTCCAAGGTTGAA